AAGCTGCATTATTAGAAATATTTTCTAGCAATAGTCTTGGTAAGCCCAAGAAATAGCATCATGAAAGCTTCCAAGTTAGACGCTTGAATTCTGCGGCATCCTGCCTTCATTAACCAATATAATTCGCTCTTCCATCCAACAATCGGACATCAAGGCCATGGTAGCTATTTTCTAAATAAAGCATGTTAATAGCTGCCCTACTAGCTAATATATAAATTCCGAAAATTATCAATATCAGCCTTTTCCACAACAGTGCTTTATTTATGATCCAATTTCTGTTTCTTGAAATGTCTAATAAAGTAGTAGCATATCTATTTTTTCATTCTTAGTGGTTAATTCAAGATCATAATAATAAATTCTTGAACAGCACATTATGTCAACTTTAAAATTGTATTTAAATACGTAGATAAAAAGAAAAGAATTTTCTAGCCCTAGCAACCTTATTGTTATGCAAAAGCCATACTCTTCTTGATATACTGGTTATATAATATAATAGATCATTTTCACTTCTATGAAATTAAATTTCTCTCAATATTGCACTTCATGGAGTTTATGTATCAGGACTGTCAATGAGAAGTGGTTTAAAACAGTGCATAGGGTAGGGGAGGAGCCTCATTTAATCCCTATGCTGTCAAACTCGTCTTCTAACTTTCTTCATTAGAGCAATTCTAGCCAAAAGGGTGTTTAGTACTGATCGATTAATGCCCATTGAGGGGTAACGATCTCAGGATCTCTGACTTCTCTAAGCTTTTTACGTTGGCCAATACGTAAAGGGCTTTATGCATTCAATAATCTATGGTAAGCAAATTATCGATCAGAGTTGAAGGTGGTGTATCAAATTTTTAGTATGCTAAATAAATTTAAGACAAAATTGATTAGTGATTGCTATGCAAAAGAACCGTGCAGAAATTGTAACTATTATAATCCTCAGGTAAAATAATTAAATAGCCTGAGAATTGCGTATTACTCAACATGAAGCTTTATTTCATAAAATGTATTTGGATGTACTTGGAAGTAATAAAAATATCGTTGAATATTTTGTTCATTGACCACCGATTATATGGTAGTTAAGGTACTTTAAAGGTAGCTAATAAGTCTCACTCTTAATAGGTCAATAAAAATATTCAATATTTAATTTTTATTAATTAAAAGAATAATCTGAGTGAAATTAATTAAACATTTCTGGACAAAATATAAATTTAATTTAAGTAAACTTCCGACTTAAGACTATGTTGAGAAACCTAGATTTGCGCAAGAATTTTAAATCCTTTGAAATCCAAGTCATTAAAAGTCTTCCGTTTCTTCCGCAAAAACTATCCTTAATCTACTTGGGATCGACTTAAAGAAAATGGTGCAATTTTCTTCTCAGTAATATTTCAATTGCTTTTGATTTTGACTGATTTAAAGACGCGTGTTTCGATATTGGCAGACCCACTTTGCCAAATTTCAGGTATTCTTGCAATTACGAATCTCAAGACTTCTATAAGTGCATAGCGATATCAGAACCATTTTGAAGAAAATAAATGCTAGGAATTCGTGGGAAAACTTCTCGTGGAGAGTGCAAGCATTAAGAAGTTGCAAGTTAAATTTAACCTTCAATTTAAAGATCATTGAATGGAGTTCATCCCGAGGCAATTCAAACTCGACATTATTTTTCCAATTTGGGGTGTGCAATAGACTTACTTCCACGTGGTGCACCCTAGGCAACATATACTCAAAAAATGTCTATAAACCGGCAGTTGACTTCTGTCTTCAAACTACCATGACCCCACTGTATGTCATATTCGACTACTTTCACAGTACTCATCCCACCTTTTTCCACCTTATCTACCTTCGTCTTTGATACACTCTTCTGTCCCCCTCCCCCCTCTTGAATTTTTTACACTTTGATGTTCCTTCCCCTCTGTGAAGACTGAAGTCAACTAAAGTGCTAATGATAACAATCAAAACGCCTGCCATTTGATATAATAATAATAATAATATTTTCCAACACCTACAATGAAGCATAAGTAGACTGCATCTGGGGTTAATTAAAAATTTATAATAAGGCTAAGGAATAGGATCAAGCAATTCAATTTAGAATTAGTCCCTTTCAAATTGTGGCAAATAGTTGTCTTTCAGTTTATCTTGTTATGTTGACAAAAACTCATGTGTTTAGAATGCTGTTATAGCATGTTTAGAATTTTGGGCTTTAATGTAACTTATTTATTCCAAAATTCTATTGCAATCGATTTCACGGAATGACTGATTTCGAATTGAGAAAATGGTTGATCCATCTAGATGGTGAACCGAGAGCCATAAGTAACAATATGGATTCGCTTACCTTTTTTTGCATTCCTGTCTTGAGTAGTGTTAATGTGGTCACACACACTCTTTCAAGCACTGTGTGTGTACACGAATCGGTCTAGATAACAGTGTTTTTTCGTCCTCATAACAATTCGATTGTCTTTCCCCAGATAAGGTATTCTTCGCGCTGATGGTTCTCGCTAGGGCACTCAGTTCTGTGTGCACAACAGCATGGGACTTGATTATGGATTGGGGTTTGCTGGATCGCAATTCCAAGGAAAATCCGCTATTGCGAGAGGAATTGGTGTATCGATTTCGTGCCTACTACTATGGCGCTATAATTGAAGATGTCATTATCCGGTTCGCTTGGATTCTGCCTCTCGTGTTTCGCAATTTCCCACAACTTGTTGACACGGAGATTGTGCTCTCGGTGGTTATGTTTGCTGAAGTTACCAGGTTAGTTTACTTCCATTTAAACGGCATTGAATAAGTAGCTTACCAATCCCGATTAGGGGAGAAGTGTTTGCTGTACTCACTTTGGGCGGGGAGAAGAGGTATCTGGCTGCCATTCTTCCGAGAAATTCGCTTTCAACCGACCTCTCTTATTGAATAGCTTGACTGGTCATCCATATTGCTGGTTTTGAACTAATAGGGCTTGATCTATTGACCTCCGTTGATTATGAAATGGTGGAATAACCAAGTGAAAGTTTCGTAATCTGAACTTTAGAGAGGAAGAGTTTTAGGTTGCCCAAATATGCCAGTATTGAGGTCTAAGTGGTTGATGGAACTTTTTAGTTGAATCATTTCCGTTTGCTACTATCTGGTTTGTGAATTAAATGAGATAGCCAGTCTTACTTCATTTATTTTTTTTGTAAAATTAGGGTTGTGAAGTATTTACTCGCTTTACAAAGTCTTATTCAAAGCTAGGAGTGTCTTTATTTGTTTCAACAGCCATTTGCGAACAGAGTATCCTAATGTTTATCTATATCAAATGGGGCGGGCGTTAGGGTTGTTATCATTAGCTCTTTAGTTGTCTTTGGGCTTCAAAGAGCGGAGGAGCATCAGTCACAAAAAGTCGAGAGGAGGAGGAGCAGAAGATTGATTCGTAGATGTTAAAGAAACAATAGACACAAGGGTGGAGAAAAAGGTAAGGTAAGGTGAGTACTGTGGAAGTGGTAAATCATCAAATGGGTTACTGAACTAGTTTTTGCTCATGTTACCCAACATCGGTCTTGCCTTCCAATTGCCGAGAAAGTGTTCAACTAAAGTCTCTACCTTTCTTCAGATAGCAATAAGTAACACACATTCCAAATGAATTTTTATTAGTATTAAAGGCTTTTTTTTCATTACTGACCATATCAAATAGGCATCTCTTTGTAACTGTGTTGCTACTTTAGTAACCTCCCAGTCCTTAAAAAAACATGTTGGTTAAATGGAATAAAACTTGGTGCAATCACATCTAAAAGAGGTCATTTG